AAAAAAAAAAAAAAAAAAAAAAAAAAAAAACCAAAAATTTAAAAAAATTTTTTTTAAAAAAAAAAAAAAAAAAAAAAAAAAAAAATATATATATATATATATATATATATATATATATATATATATATATATGAATATTGTGCCAATTTTATCTAACAATTCCCAGAATTCATAGCTGGAAGTGTTTAAATCCTTAATCCATGACTTCCTGGACCCTTTAAATCCATAAATATAACGTGACAAAAAAGAGAAGAAAAATGCAAAAAAGAGAGAGTAAAAAAAACAGAAAAAAACAAAGGAAGAAAAAGAATGATGTGCCCAGAAAAGCAAAAATAAATAAAACTGTTTAACTAGAAACAAACAAACACAGATTACAAAACCAATCTATGAAAAAAAATCAGTAATTTTTAACCAAGCAAACCTAAACCATTTGTTTCAAATGTTGTAAAATAAGTTGTAAATAAACACGACGTTTGAATTATTCAGACTTCTCATATATTGTGTTTTCAAATCTCAGTGAATTAAAAACAAAATAACAATGAATTGTTGCATTGTGAATTGTGAAGCTTTGCCAGTCGAACCTGCGGAAAAGCTTCATGTCCTCTTGGATGTCGTAGGGGTCAAGGGTCGGCCACTGGTTGATGAGGGGGATCGGCAGATCTTTGGCCAGGTGGTTGGAGTTGCATGGAATCAGGCTCGTTCTGATGCACAGCAGGGGGAGACATGACGGAAATATTCTCGTTTATTTTTCTTCCAAAAACCAAAAAGGAGAAAAACCCGACATAAAGCACTTCAAATGAAAGCTGACCTATGATGCAAAATTAACTTTTTACACGTTTTTATTCTTCCATTCGGATCTCAAATCATTCTAAAAACAATCCAGGTGCTTAAAAATACAACAAAACACCCAACTGTTTTTGGCAATAAGTTCATGTTTTTTGTTGTGTGGAAAATGACAAAACTGCACCGTCACCTAGCAACTCCAGCCTAGCTCAGCCCGTTACTTAGCAACCCAACTGGAGCTCCAGCATGTTTGATTTTACAACTGCATGGGCTGTACAATGGCTGCTGGAAAAGACAAGTGTTTTGTTATTGTCTTATCATTCAGAAGCCCCTACTATCTGCATTCTTGTTAGTTGTGCAGGAAGCTCTACTAATGCTTTTCATAGCTCCACGGTTGTATAATTATGTGTGTTTTCAGCCATTTTCACATGCAGCAGCTTATTTGGATTTAAAGCGACAGGACGCCCTAAAACAGCTCATTTTGAAAAGAGCTCAACAAGGAGAACTGCGCAGACTAAAATCTCATTATCTAAAAATTATATGTGCAACAACTGAAATAAACATGTTTCATGAAACCCAGAAACCATCAAAGAGGCTTCATGGGTCACCTTTACAGATTAGTGGTTAGTTAAATGGGCTGCAGAGTTGGTACATAGCACAAAGAGAGGAACAAGCTAAATAAAAATAAAAGATATTAATGCATTTCTTCAGATGTACTAAATAGTTAGCGTGTGCTACCATTAATTTTGTGAATGAATTCCTGTCCTGCTGAGTAAATCTGCTATAACCTTCAGGTTTGGAAGATTCCCCTGATCTGACCTTATAACAGACACGATGAAGAGTTCATGTTTAGAGACTCACAGTTGCTCCTGCAGCTCCAGGATTACAGCCTCCAGCTCCTTCTTCTCCTGTTGGCTTTGGCTCTGAATTTCCTCCAGCTGGGATTTCAGCTTCTTGTTCTCCGTCTCCGTGTTCTTCAGCTGAGATTCACGCAGGCGTACGAGCTCCTCCAGGTACCCCTGACAATGTTTTCCAAATTTATGTGTTTGATTTTTTACCAATAATGCACTGCTGATTATTTAGTAATGTGTTTTAAAATATGACGGCGCATTTTAAAGCATATTATGAAGCATAAGAGATAAATGAGGAATACATTTTGGCCAAATAATTAATACATTTTTAGATTAATCTCAAATTTTCAAAAAAATAGAATAAAATTTCTCAACTTGAAAAGTAGAAAATTTGATCGATTCATTAATTTTACAATTAATTTAACATTTTCTGAAAATGTTTTTTTAAATTATCTGGAAAAGTAGATTATTTGCTACAAAAGAATCATACATTTTGAGACTAATTTAAAATTTTCCAAAAAAAAATTCTCAGATTCAAAAGTAGAAAATCTGATAGGTAAAATTGACACATTTGAGATTAAGCTCAGAGATTTTCTAGTAAAAAACTTTGAATCTCCTAAGCTTTAAAAGTCAAAAATTTGTGAGAAAAAACTTGGAGATTAAACTCAAATTTAAAAAAAAAAAAAAAAAAACTTAAAAATTGTCAGCTAGGAAAGTCAAACATTTGCTACAAAAGAACTGCAGCTTCAGTTCTGCAGACTAAGACTAAACTCATTAAATTTTCAGAGCTTGAAAAGTCATAACTTACTAGAAAACATCTAAGAACTTTTGAAATGAATCTCAGAAATAAAAAATAATAAATAAAAAAACTGGGAAATTTGTGAGTTTCAAAAGTTGAACATTTTCAACACATAATTCAAGACTTTTTGAAAATTTCTGAGTTTTTTTGGCAGAATTTTTTTTAAAAGTTTTGTTGGCTTTAGTGGCCTTTATTTGAAAGTAGTTCAACAGGAAATAGGATAATGAGAGATGGGGAAGACATGCGGCAAATGTCACCAGGACGGAAATCGAACCTGCGGCATGAGGACTAAGGCCTCAATACGTGGGTTGTGCTTTGCCCCTGCACCGCCACAGCACCCGTTTTGGCAGAATTTTTCTACTGTTTTTTTACCTACAGTGTCTCTAAATTGAGAGGCGCTGTAGTGAAATCAAGCAGTGAAATGTGCAAACACCTTCTGAGCGTTGACGATCTTGAACCTCTGCTCCATTTTGCGGCACTTTGTGCTCCAGCTCTCATCGTCGGTGACCAGCGGGACGTACGGATGCTCGGGGACGCTGTCGTCGCTGGTGCTGCTGTCGACGCTCCGCCGATCATCATCACTCAAGTATTCATAGCTGCACAGAAAACAACTGCTGCACTTCCTCTCTCTCTCTGTGACTGTTTTACAGCCATCTTGTTTTACTGTTTAAAGTAAGATGGCCGACCTGACTGATGCAGCTCGTTTCTCATTTTAAACTCCAGAGTAAAACGCTGAACATTCCTGCTGCTGTCTAAACAACCTTATCTGCTGCTTCGCCGCCTTTACCTCTGTGTGAATTTCAAGTATGGAGTGTAGTCGATCACCGCCGGGGATTTCCCGTCCAGGGCCTCTCCTTTCAGGCAGAAACTGTGATAAGGAAGGCGCTCTAAATTAAGACCATAAATTACAGCAACAAAAATATTACTCTCTGCAGAAAGGTCAAAGGTCAACCCCCGTACCTAAAATCTATGGCTCCCACACCAATGAGCATCCCTGTTAGCACTGTGGCTTCTTCTCTCAGCATTATGGCTCCTTCTGAGTAAAACCTCCTGAAGCGCAAAGACAACAGATACAGACAAACATGGTTACTGTAAAGGACAGGCAGCCATTTTGGAGGACAGACAGTCACTTTAAAGGACAGTCAGCGCGGAGATGGCCCACCGACGGCCCACCAACGGCCCACAAGTGGCCCACAAGTGGCCCACCGACGGCCCACAGTCAGCCCACCTACTGCCCACCATGTTTTTATATTAAAAGATGTTAAGAACACAGACATGAGATTTACAACGCAGACACAGAGCCACGCTGGGCAGCATGTTGAGATGTAAATGAAGCACATAATTCTTTGTTCACAAAGATAAATCATTCTCACCGCTTGCTCAACGCGCATCTCTTCAAGCGCAACTGCATGTTATACCTGTAGTTCACATATAGCTGCACAAGCAGAGCCAACGCGATGGAGTTTAATCTCTTACGTTGTTGTGGGTGGGCTAGGGGGCTTATAATACACTGGGAGAAACCCTGTATAAATGTATATACATCAATGAGTCCTGGATTTCTGGGCTTCTCACCCCACCTCTAAGGGAGCCCAGAGACCCTACAGAGAAAACAAAATGAGGAGCTCATTTTGTTTTCTCAAGGCAGTCCTCAGGGGGGCACTCTCCAGTACCCCCTCCAAGGACTTGAAAAGGTTGGCAATCTGAACTGTTTGGCACATAAGCACAAACAGTCAGAACCATGAGTGTGTGTATATAT